ATTTATCAGCTACATCAGATTATGATTTTGGTTGTTTTATGGTGGTAAGGCACCTATAGGTCTTTTGTAAGTTTCCGTTTCTATTATTCGCACAATGACTTCCTTTTTCTCACAGGGGCATCTTTCAAAGAATCTGTCCAATGAGCAGCGTCCTCCGATTTAAATATTCACACAGCATTTCTTAGCACATCAAGTGAGACCTTTAGTTTGAATAAAGGTGCAGTTACATTTACTGTTCCGGCAAATTTTTGCGGGTGAACTCAAGTTGAATCAATAGGAAACTACATGCGAGGACGAAAATATTTCCTCATGCAGATTTTGCATCAGGTCCTGGGAATTCACCACAATGACCAACATAAAGCTGCTTGATTTGAAAGTGACTTCTATGTGAGCTGTGCTTCATACATCCCTACAGTTTTGACAATGGATTTTTTCCCCCTGCAATATTTTCCAGAAATTTTCGCTAATGTGATTGCACCTTAAGAGGGTTCTGTTTTCTACATATGCACTGTTAATTAAAAGGATACTGACTGACTGGATGTGGGACCATCTACTGCTAGTACCATGTCTTTATCAACTGAATCACAGAGGACACATAAAGCCATAGTGACCATGTGAAATGCATAGACCAGTAGTACGTAATAGGATGCTTATTTGAGTGGGAAGTGTTTGTCATCGGGTATGGAGTGCCTTGGCAAGAAGCTTGTGCCCTGAGACCTGCTTTGAAAGCGTGTGCACCTTGTATTAAGCTTGGCTTTATGCATCTCTCATGAATGGTCCCATCCTTCAGTCATTACCCCTTTTCTTCGGGGTATTTATCTCTTCTCATTGTTCTTCTCTTGTCCCTCTTTTGCACTCTTCACTCATTCAGGTTGATAAGTTGGATGCTTCTGAGTCTTTGAGGAAAGAGGAAGAACAGCTCACAGAGGCACAACCCATTGTCTATGGTAGGACCCTTGCACTGTCTCTGCATCTAAGAAGGAAAAACTTTTTATATCTCCACTACAAATTATTCATCAAGCAATATAGTATTTCTTTGGCTAATACAGATATCTAGAGGCCACTTATTTTATTAATTTATTTTATTTTAGGTTTTATTTAAAATAATTTAATTATTGTTTTAACAATTTTTGCTTTTGTCTGTATTTGTTTTAAATTTTTTTCCAATTTGTTTTGTGTTTTTGATTTTTTGTTATATCTAGAGGCCACTTATTTTATTAATTTATTTTATTTTAGGTTTTATTTAAAATAATTTAATTATTGTTTTAACAATTTTTGCTTTTGTCTGTATTTGTATTTGTATTTTTTTCCAATTTGTTTTGTGTTTTTGATTTTTTGTTTAATGCTAGCAAGTATGAATGGAATTTATATTTAATTCACATATATAATTAATGTAATATTTTCACTAAATTTTTTGCTGTAGCGTCAAAATTACTAATATGTCGCAATATATTAGTTTATCACGTTACCTTTTTTTGTTCATTTTATTTTATTATTTTATTTGAATTATTTATTTATTTATTTTCCCCCCGATTTGTTTTGTTTTTGGTTTGTGTTTTTGGTTTTGTTTTGTTTAATGCTAGCAAGTATGAATGGAATTTATATTTAATTCACATATATAATTAATGTAATATGTTCACTCAAGTTTTTGCTGTAGCTTCAAAATAACTAATATGTCGCAATATATTAGTTTATCACGTTACCTTTTTTTGTTCGTTTTATTTTATTATTTTATTTTATTTTAAATATAAATTTTTTTGTTTAACGCTAAAGTATGAGAGGAATTTATATTTAATTCACAATATATTAGTTTTTTATTTTTTGTATTTCATTTTATTGTTTACATTGTTTTTGATTTGGTTTTTTGTTGTGTTTAATGCTAGCAAGTATGAGTCAAATTTATATTTAATTCACATATTTAATTTATGTAATTTTCACTCTAAAATATTTGCAGTAACCTCAAAATACCAAATATGCCTGATATATTGGCTTATCACGTTAGATTTTTTTATTTTTTTATTTTTTTTTTGGTATGGTTTTATTTTTGTTATATATTTTGTCAGTTTTATTGAGTTTATTTTCTGATATTTATTTTGTTATTTTATTTATATTTTTTTAAATCCGCATTTCTTACATTTATTCCCCAAAGACTAACTACTAATCCACTCAAGGTTTTCTTGAGAGGACAAACCACCATCAACACTTCCAAAGTTTGATTTGGGATGTTTGTATGCCCTCAGCAAACTTACCAAGGCCTCAGTGAGTAATGCTTTCACTGCTGTCAGTTAAGATAATGTCACAGGGTTTGTTTCTGTGTGCAGGTGTCTGAACTGTAAACAGTAGTGGGAGATGGCTGCAAATGGGGCAGAATGTGAACAGCCACAGAAAAGACTAGGGCCTAAAGACAAGCAGAATGGCAGTTCTACAGGTTTGTTAAGCTGATTTAATAAATTAAACCAGGACTAGAGATAAAACGTCCTGTGGAGATAAACGGATATGCCCTAGTCACTAATAGATTGATCTATCTTCATTGATCTTTAAGGAATAATTTACCCAAAAATGAAAATTTGCTGAAAATGGTCTCACCCTCAGGCCATATGCGCTAAAGATGAGTTTTTCTTCATCAGAACAGATTTGGAGAAATTTAGCATTCCATCACTTGCTTACCAATGGATCCTCTGCATGTTGTGTTAAAAAGTTGGTGTTTTTTTTTTTTTTTTCCGTTTAGTTCTAGCAAGTATGAATGGAATTGATATTTAATTATATAATATAATTAATGTAATATTTTCACTCAAATATATTTGCAGTAACTTCAAAATACCAAATGTGCCCAATATATTGGTCTACCACAGTTACAAATGCCGAGTAGCCTGATGTAAAATAATTTACAGTTGCATTCAAAACCCATTAAATGAGATGAATAACCTGTCGTAGGTAGTTTTTGTATTAATGCTCCTGTGTTATTTTTCCCAGGCACACCCCAACTGATGCTCACTGCAGGCCCCAATGTCGCAGTCCCCCCACAGCAGCCTTACGGCTACGGCTACCCCACGGCGACTGGCTACGGCCAACCCGCACAGCCAGGCTTCGGCTACGGCATGTAAAGCCCTCCTGCCCACAGCTGTCCATCCATCTCTCCTTAAGTTCCTTACTAGCTTATTGTGATCTACTCACAAGGTTATAGAAAGTAAAAAAAAAAAAAAAGTTTTAAATTATTTTCCTTAAAATGCAATGAAGGACTTCATTTTTATTTGTGTTGTCAAAGAAAATAATCGGACCACATTTTTGTTATTTCACATTCCATATTTAAGGCTACTTCTATCACTAGTTCTTTTTTTTCTTTTTTTTGTGAGCTGATTTTTTTAAGGGGGCATGGGTTGTGTATGTAATACAGGTTTGTTAAGCTGATTTAATAAATTAAACCAGGACTAGAGATAAAACGTCCTGTGGAGATAAACGGATATGCCCTAGTCACTAATAGATTGATCTATCTTCATTGATCTTTAAGGAATAATTTACCCAAAAATGAAAATTTGCTGAAAATGGTCTCACCCTCAGGCCATATGCGCTAAAGATGAGTTTTTCTTCATCAGAACAGATTTGGAGAAATTTAGCATTCCATCACTTGCTTACCAATGGATCCTCTGCATGTTGTGTTAAAAATATAATTGAATCATATTTTAAAAGCTTGTGGATTGTACCCACAGATTCATCTCTGAGAGAGAGAAAGCAGCAGGACAGGGAAGAGTGTCTTTCTTTAGTGCTGTGGAAGAGGCCTTTTACCACACTACAGTATTTCTTCATAGAAACCCTTATTACCCTGAAAGAATGGACGTGGAAGTAAGCGATCACATTTTTTATTGCACACATAATTCTAAGTGCCTTTTATTTATAGTTTATGTAAAGTTTAACCAAATTATTTGCACCTGTCCTTGTATGGTGAAATTACATTCCTATTGATGCTTAAAAGGGTCCTATTGTGCTCTTTTAAAAGTCTTGATTTTGGTTTGAGGGTGTACTAGAACAGGCTCTCATTAAGTAATAATCTGATATTCTACACAAATATGTAGCTGTATGGAAATTTTAAGCGCATACAGACATGAATATAGTAAATGATTTTAATCCCTTAGCCTAAACGGGTTTCCCCCGATCGACCTCGTAGTTGTTAACATCTCATTCACTCCATGTGTAACAGGTGACCTTTCCTTGTATTGAATACAGTGCTCTTTCTTGTGTGAATCCATTTCCATAAATGAGCAAGGGATTCATCAATTCTTCTGACTTCTGTGTTTACTCATCCAATTCTTTGTATTGAGGTTTGTGTGTGCCAGGTGTCGTGCTGTTCTTGCTCACTATTCGGAGTGTACAGAAGAATGAATTCACAAATGGAGAACAATGCTTTGTCCACCTGTAAGATTTGTGTGCGATCTGCAGATTCAGAAAACGAGAATAAATTCACAGGATTGTGATTATTTTGGTGGCTTGATTGTAAATTGGCAAAGATTCAAATGAAACGCATCCATTCTCTATCATTTTGCCACTTACATTTTTTTCACAGATCATGTAGCAGCCATTAAGGGTGCACACAGACTTTTTTTTTTCCTATGTTGTGCTGGCCAATATTGCGGTTATCTTGGAAGAAATTGAAGAAATGTGTAGTTAGCATAATTGATTTTATCCTATGAACAAATAACATTCAGCTGGTCATGTGATCTCAACATGGTGGCCCCCATGAGGCGACCCCCTCCATGTACAATAAATCACCATTTACTGGGCTAGTGATGCGAGTACTGTTATTTAAAAAAATTATACACGAATATTAATTTAATCTAAAACTTAATGAGGGAAAATTGTTGAGTCTATAAATTTAGCAGAAATGTATTAACGGATTTTTGTATATACACTGCTTATTTGTATCAATCTATAAGAGAGAAGCCTGTAATAAATGTTTAAAATTCAAAACACATAGACGTCTATAAATAGTAACAGTGAAAAGGGACATGAACTTCCTTCGGTGTACGCTAGAAAATCGTGGGAAGTCGGATATTCTGATCCCGGATACGCAGATGGTAGAATAAAAGACTTTCTGGGTCTTCCTAAAATAGCCTTTCTATTTTCGTCTCGTTAATAAAAAAAAAAGACCCGCAAGCCATACTGCGAAGCTGCTGTCCGACATCCTAAATTAATAAATTTTAATACAAATGTTATATAATATTGAGAGCTTGGCGAAAATGATTTCAGTCACTCTAAAACTCGCTGAGTTGTAGCGAAAGAACAGATGGCAGTGGTTGTCTCGTGGGCTTTTATGTTGAAATGACTGCACCGCTCTACAGCTGAACGTGAGTCATTTCCTGTGGCTGTCGTCGCTTATTGCTGCTGTCAGGACGGAAGAGTGGTTTCAGGTATGACTGTCCCTTCACTTTACCTTTACCTCTGTTATGACACTTTTCACTCCTTTTAGCCTAAGAGTATGTAAACATCACTATGTAGTCGATGATGAGTCTCAAATCAAGTATAAACCGCAATAGGGGACTCAAAGCTAACCTAGACAGCTAATTCCTGCCGGTTCATCACCCACATGGGCTGTTTGAAATGAATATAACCTGTAAATGGAATCTGAAAATGGTATTTTGTTTATGTAAAATAATTGGTAATTACCCAACAAGTGTTAGAAAGTCTTGTGTACTATAACCCTACTTAATCAGTTGGTTTATCTTTTGTTATTAAGTTATAGCTTAGGTTAGCTTAAGTGCTAGTTAAAGGTCCTAGTACAACCAGTACAGGTGATCAGAGTACTGTGATGGAAATAAATGAATATACTGGTACTAGAATACATTATATAT